ATTCAAATTCAAATTCTTTTATTGCATATCATGTGTACAATTGGTGTTACATGAGTTACAGTTTCAACATGAAACCCGGCTAGGGCACGGCAACATATAAAGCAAAATAATTCAAAATATAATCTAATTACTTATTATATTTTAACATAAGAAATGTTGTTTTCATTAAACATTAAAATATTATCTTTATTTTATTATAATAGTGTATTTACATATTTCTTAATAATGTATAGGTATTATTGTATGTAGTATATGTATTATTATATTTAATATGATTTTTTATTGAGTTGGTATGCATTGAGTGTTAAGATTTGCTGTTTTGGTCATCAAAAAACTCATCTGTCGAATTCTTTCAGCTCAGTGCAATATGTTGTACCTGCGATATCCTATCAGATAAGATTTACAAATACAGGAAATTTCATTTACAATGGTAAACCCAAAAACGTGTGCGATAAAAGCGATTAGGTTGACTTTTCAACCGATTTATCTAAATAGGTATGTCTACTATCTCACAGCATTTTCAATGCAACAATTTATTCTCACTACATCATAAATATGGCAAGGTTGTAAACAGTGTGTCTGGTTTCACACATCAAACTAGAACATCTGTGGCACAACCAGAAAAATATTAAAAAAAAAACAATTCACGGCTGAATATCGCAATATCGTGGCTACGAAAAAAAAAAATGGCACCGCTCGAACCATAAAACAGTTTCAAAATGTCGGTCAGTGAATACGACATATGGTTTACGAGCGAGCCAGGTGTCACACGGGTTACGGTGGCGATATAAAATTGATCTAATCTTCGTAACGCGGCGAAACGTTCGCGTAAAACCTTGTAGGATGCTCAGGTCATACTTATTAGTGCTTCAAGACGTTGTTTCTTGTAAAATATGTCCAATTTCGGAGCTTTGCTAAACGATAAATGATCTTTATGACCTTACTTTAGTTATTAGTAAGTCGTCGCTTTCTTTTCTTAGGAACATTAAAAGAGTGATGTTTTTAAAGGAAATCAGACTAGACACAAAGAAAACTTCATCATTACGTACTTATACGTAGTATAGGGAAGCACGGAGTCTGAAATTGTGCGGTATATGGCAATAGGCTCACCCCCTATTACATGGGACTCATAAATAGTGAAAAGTGACTGTTACTTCTGTGTGCACCTCTGCCTACACCTTCGGAGATAAAAGGCGTGATGTTATATTATGTAGGTACTTATAGGTAAATAAGTACTTACCTATTTACTATTCACCTGTATGCCCATGAAGACTGCGTTAACAATTAAGTACTCTTATAGCTATTTATTGCCATTTTCACATGTCCTAGGGTTTATGTATTAACTAAAAAGACAGGTACGACGAGGAAGTTCTTATATTCATCAACAGCCTATAAATTCCCACTGCTGAGCAAAGCCTCTTCTCACACGGAGAAGGTAAGAGCATTAATCACCACGCTTGCTCAATGCGGGTTGGCGATTTCAAACTTAGGTATAATTAGAAATTATAAGCCGAGGTTTCCTCACGATGTTTTTCCTTCACCGTTTGTCAGTGGTGTCTAAATAATCTTAGAAAGTACATATAACTCGGAAAAAGTCACATTGGTACTTGCTGTTGGTAGGTTTCGAACCCGCACCCTCATGCATGAGAAGCAGGCGTCTTAAACCTCCGGGCCACCACGACAGTTACATCATATTACCTACCTAATATAAAGTTCACTGTAAGCAAGAAAACGTAATGCCTAAGTGCCTTCGATCCTTAAGTTAAATTATGAACGAGGCAAGAAAAATACTTGTTCCAATGATTTATTTTACCGTTCCAATTGTTCCGAATAATGTTCGACAACTATTCGGTAGCGCGATAGAGCCGAATTCCTAGAGGAAGAAAACTCTCCGATACTCCAGGAGCTGGGAATTGTTATTTCAAATATCTTAGAGATATTTAGTCATCCAAGAATATTTTGTTTTAGTTCGAAATTGCTGTTGTAAATAATTGAGTCATTATATCATAATTAGGTGTTATTTTATACCTAACTGTAGTTACCATAAGTAGGTATGTGTAGTTCTTTGCTAAGTTAGACGTGACTTCGTTGCCGGGACTCCGGCTCAAAGTGCAGGAATAGCAACGGGGTGGTTTTTAGTCAGTAACAGTCTGACACTCCATCTCGCCTGACCCAGGCGAGAAAAGACATAATGATTTTCCCCCCTTAAAAAAACTAAGATGTATCCAGAAGTATTTTGTAAATTGATCAAATAAATATGTCGTAGTCGTAGCGTAGGCAGGTACGTGACGTGTAACCTGTTCCAATGTCAACAAAAGATAATTTTAAATTTTATTACTAACATTGTTTTTACTTTTAATTTTACCTAAAGTAGGTATCCGAAGGTGTCTACAGATCACCCAGAGTTACTGACGGACTCAGTGATTTTGGAATCTGTTATGGTCAATGATATTATAAATAATAAAAAGAGGTAGATATCGCACTGGCACGCAAAAATTGTTGCGAACGAATTCAGACAATTGTCGTAATTTTATAATAGCTATCTCTTTCTGTACCATAGTTTCCGTATTATCTGTCGCACGTAGTTGAAAATGACATTTAAGTACATTTGTAATAAGAACGCAACAATTTTTGGACGCCGCTTAGTATGAACGTAGCGTATCTTCTTTATAATATCATTGGTTATGGTTCTTTGCTTATTTATAAATTCTCTACTTATTTATAAATTTTGTGTTGTATATTTTTTCTCTAAACTTTAAACTAAAAATCTTAAATTGTTACTACAAATTTATTTAAATTCGATACTGTAAAAAAAAATATGTAAATCGATTATTAAGGAATAAATGAGGCTTTATTATTATTATTATTATGGTTCTTTGGTTCTTTGGGACCTAAATGCTACCAGCAATAAGCAAATGCAACTCGACTTCATCTCAAGTAAAAAAAAATCTTACCAAAAAATAATAAAAATTCAACGTCTTCCAAACGAGCTCCCGGCCTAAGAATCCAGGTGGCAGGATATCAGTTAAAATACGTGGCAGTTTTAATTACGCCGGTCTATCGGCATTCCGGTCGGCATCCGACACCGGATTGCTTCCGACCTTTATAGGAATCCGTTCCATTAGCCGGGGAACTTACCGGATTCTTTAGTGAGTCTCCGGACTGCGAATCCATGTTGAATTTCTGTTCATTTTCTTATTAACGTGTCGTTCATTGATTTAATTGATTAGCTGATATTGTGATTTATTAGCTGGTAGATTTAAGTACCTAAGTGTCAAATTAATAAGTTAGGAATGCTTAATGATTTTAAGTGTAGGTATCTACTGACTTGTGGATCTGTGACTAAACTATGTAGGTAATTTAAAATCTGGAATTAAATCATTAGGTCGGTAATTATGGCGGTGTTCAGTTACTTCTTATATACTGTTCTATCTTTATTAGCCTGGGGTACTGAAAGTAGAACATTTTCTACGTTATTATCTTATTGTTATAAATGTAGGTACTTACCTACACCATTGCTGCGTAGTTCTACTAGCCCAACTCGTACAGTTCAGCACACATCATATTTTTTACACAAAAATCCACCTTAACGCTATGCGTATAAATGACTTGTATCTAGATAGGTAATATGAATCTGACTGGTTCAACACCATCAAACATTTCACCACAACAGACTTTTAGATGTATTTCGTCGTCGTCTATATAAAACACCTAAATTTTTAACCTTCGCTATCGCTTGCACCAAAAATCTTCAACTATTAAAATTCCCCAATTCTTCCCCTCGTCTAGTTGCTATACGTTACTTGGGTGGACTGTCTCGACACGGGAACCTGCCCTCTCATTATTTCTTCTTCTAAATGACGTGAAAATGCTGAATTTCGTATGAAGAGAGTTTTAGATGCCCAACCTGATTACACTTCAAATTCTAAGAACACTCCTTCCCGACAATGCAGAATAAAATAGTTTCCCACTCTTTTATGGTACCTGGGTACTGTTGGTGTCACAGGATTACTTCGGCTACGGTGATCGCTTACCATTAGACAAGTCATAGGCAAATTTTGTTGCTATAAAAAGTAGCAATAGCTTACTATATAGAAACTATTCGACAAACAAGGAAGTTTAAACAAATTAATTAAAACACATTAATGAAAATTAATTTCATTTTTAATAAAATTCAGAAGATACACAGATCACACAATTTCTTTTTCAAGTATACAAACTTCCAATTATTTTTAACTGACAAATAAAAAAAAAAATTCTGTTTATTTAATAAACTTTATGTTGTTGCCAATTTCTGATCTTCAATATTTTTCCATTCAGTGTAATTTTTTAATTCATGAATAAACATTTCATTGTTTTTTTATTTTACTTTAGAATGTAGCAGTTAGTATAAATACGTTGTAGTAGGTAATAAGATAAAATATTGTCAAAATCAACAATTTGTACGTAAAAGTATTACAACATTCGGAGATTTTGAATCACCTTAAAAAACAAAACAAACAAATGATTGCATTTATAAGCAACAGTTAATAACAGACTGAACAGAGAACAGTAGTAAAATTATCTCAAAGTAAATGTACCTATAGGTACTACCAGATTTACCGTAGACTAAATCGACGAGGGAATAATGAGGACCAAGTTATACGGAACACCGCAAGTCAATTAATGGAGTTCATACGCTTTGTTTCACTTCTGTTATTGTAATTCTCACGAACGAACCAAGACAGACCAACTTTAGAACCTTTTAACTCACAGTATTGTATCGGTATTTGGAGAAACAATGAGAACTTAGGGGTAAACAAAAATTATGAAACTTACGTAAAGATTACGATTCAAACATTCTGCGCGAGTAGGCTAAATTATAACAAGCTTTTGTATAACTTCCCTGAGAAATTAAATGTATAAGATACAACACAGCACAAACAAAAGAGCTAGGCTCCAGATAATAAGTGATTTACAAAAATCACTTTTACATAAACTTTGTACAACCACAAATTGCTTTAGTTAGCCGCGTAATGTTTTATAAATCTCGCAGAAGGATCGGACACCCCAGCGACCCATTTCGGCATCCAATAATACGGAGTAAATACATGCTGCCCGGGGAAGGACTTCTCAAACACGTAGCGGTAATATTTCGACTCCGCTGTCTTCGGCTGTACTCCTGGATATTCTACATTCTCCTCTATTGACCTTTCAGCTATTATATCTCCGATAATAGTAAACAATGACTTCTTTACGGAGGCCACGCCGTCGCTGAAGGCCTCTTTGTGACGCCACAAAATGGTGTCTGGCAGCAATCCACTTTTAGCAAAACTGTTTCTAAGTAAATGTTTCTCTATGCCGTTCTGGGGTTGCCTCATTTTCGGATCAAGGCTGAGATAGTGGTGAGTAAACTGAATATCTAAGAACGGAACACGTAGCTCCAAACTGAATGCACTAGTCGTTCGGTCCGCTCGGAGACCGTCATACAAATAAATATCGGAGAGTAAACGCAAACTCTCTTCATGTGCTACGTTTTCGGAAGGAGCATCCCTAAAGTAAATATAGCCTTGTGCTAATTCATCTGCTCCCTCCCCACTGAATACCACAGTAGTATTAGTCTTTTCCTTGATATACTTCGATAGCAAATACATAGGTAAGCTAGCGCGAATCGTAGTAATATCAAACGATTCTAAGTGATAGATTACATTGTCCAGCTCTCGTTTCACATCATTTTCGTCAAATTGTACTTCATGATGTTCAGTTCCCAAGTAATCCGCAACTGAGCGAGCAGCTATCAAATCTGGTGAGTCACCCATTCCGATAGCAAATGTTTGTATTTTATATGGCAAGTTATGTTTTTTAGCAAGCTTCACGACTAGAGAGGCTATAAGTGAGGAATCTAAGCCCCCACTAAGTAAACATCCGATACGTCTGTCTGACATCAATCTCTTTTCACACGCTGCTTCTAAAAGATAAGCAGTCTTCTCTTCTATACTCTTGCCTTCTAGCTCTGACTCCGGAACATATGGTATAAAGTTTGGCGGCATGCCGGGTGATGTGTATCGTTCAATAAAATCAAGTTTTACTTTACCATCGTCCAATATACTCCACTGAGCATAGTGACCAGGTGGGAATTGTCTTAACGTAGCACTGCCATTGCCGTTTTGTTTTAACTTAATCAGACCTTTGCCTTCTGAAGAGATTCCTAAGACACCTCTTTCCGCGTCCCAATATTCAAAGAGCGGGCGGACACCATACGGATCACGGGCGACACAAATTTTCTTTTTCTCTCCATCCATTAGACAAAACGCAAATACACCATCTAGATTCTTTACAGTTTTCTGGAACCCAAAGTTGTGATACAGATGCGTGATAGCCTCCACGTCACACTTTGTTTCATACGGAAACTTGAATTGTGTTTGTAAACGTTTATAGTTGTAGATTTCTCCGTTACAAATGAGGTTTGTACGAGGATAGAGATGTAATCTCATCGGTTGCATACCGTGAAGACCGTCAACAATAGCCAGTCGTCGGAAGCCAAATATCGCAAATGGTTCTCGAGCATCGGCCTCGAAACGCCATGCGTCGGGGCCGCGGTGTCGAATTGCCACGAAACTCTCCGTACATAGTGGGCATAAGTCTTCACTTACACCAAACAATGCCCATATTCCGCACATTTTGAATCTGAAATAATGAAAGTAAATTGTATAAGTAATCAAACTCGCACGTTCTTATTTGTACTACAATATTGTCACGAAAAGTAATCTGTGCTCGAATATTGTGCGAACCGTTTACGCTGAATTTGGGTCACTAGTTCTAACAACACGTACAAAAAAATAAGTTGGGTACACAAAACAACGACCTTTCGGCGTCAACTCCTCCCGTTTGCGAACAAATATCATTAAGCAAATTCCCTGTCATTATCCTGTCAACACGAAACAGTGAGACTTTACCTGGTAACGGCTATCAAATTACTAAGTCAATGGACAGGAAATTATTCAAGGCGATTACCTACTTTTTTACGACGTATTATGCAGTGGAAAGGCTAAAGAAGTTTTAATGAAGTCCTGTATACTAGCTAATAAACTAACTTCGGAGAAGTTGTAAAGAAGTCTTCTTTTTTTGCTAGAAGAACGAGTTTATGGATTTTAGCGTTAATAGTCTAGTACACAAAAAAGTTAGTCGTACAACCCTCAACTAAGAAAAAGCAAACAAGCGCTGCATAATTTAATTTGTGCATTAAGCTGCACTAAAATTAAGACAGAAGGCCCAAAAGTATGTCTAATAGAAGTGGACAAACAATTCAAAGATCAATTTACAAACGTTCGTCCACAAAATCCGAAGATTGCATTAGTTTTACAATGAAGCGAGAACCGATAACTTATAGAGTTAATTAAGCAACCGAATTTAACTTGAAACTTAAACCATTAACGAGAGCATTAGGATAAGGATGAGTCGGCTAACTCTGAGTTACTAAACGTTCACTTTAAAAGCATTGATTCACTTTAACAAAGAGCCCAACTGTGTATTTTGTTACCGCAAATTGAAATAAGTGTGGGACGTGGATTGTTTGCTATTAATTTCTATCAGGAGCGGGATGTTAAACAGAATTTAGAACTATTTACGGTCTACAAGTAACAGGAACGTACAGTCAACGTATGTTAATAAAGTATACTGTCATTATTTCGTAGACAATGTAATTGTCATTGACATTTAATATGATTCTTTGATTCGTCGTCGTTGTCCAATTTATATACCCACTTAATGTAGCCACTTTATTACAATAACGATCATAATAACCTTTATTAATAAATAAACCAATCTATCAAAAAGTAATTGACAAAGACTTGCTCACCAGCAAATCTGGTCCAATTCCAGGATAATAAATTTGAAACAACAATAACGTCGAATCTCCATACTAACTTAAATTGCCAATTCTAAATTCATCACGGATTATTATTTAAGCAACAAATCTATTAATCTGAGCCTACGGGAGTGGAATACATAAATCAATTAACCCTGACAAGACGGGCCGTGTTGAGGCCGCCAGCCCATTTCGGGGACCAGTACCCTATTTTGGCGACACTGTTCCCCAGGGGCGTTGAATCGTCTCCAGTTTAATTCAAATATTACTTGTGGAATTGAAGTGTCGGTTGGGCCACTAGATTCGGGAGTTAAATACGTCCGAATTCTATTATCAAATTGGGTTACACTCGGCCAATGACGTTGATTTGAATCAGGAGTGCCGCTCTAGAAAAGTCTGACCGACGGTCCTATTCATCAACGGATTATCTTGCCTATTAACTGCCTATTGAAACTGCTTTACACAATATCGCCACCATTTCGGACAGCGATGTCTTATTTCTATTTGTGCTGGTGATTAACCGTTTTTATCAATTATAAAGATTATCACTGTCTGCACAAAAAAAACATAATTATCAATTTCGGTAAATACCTAAATGTTTACGAGAAACAACAAAATTGCATTATTATCTAAATAGATAAAAATAATCTACACTTAAATAAAGTGGGTCATTGTTACATAATTTTATTCATTACCAAAACAAGGTCATCTTGGCGCACACATGGACATTGTTACATATACGATGTAACATTAGGAGCAAACTTACATGCTGTATAGTTTATACTCCTTTTGTGAGGTACATTACTACAAGGTAAACCTATTAGACGGGCCACTAGACAAACACAGACAGTTGAATCAGGTGTTGCTTCATCCATAACTTATTGCGAACATATTTTTTTTCATACATATAACTGGATCTATTAAACCTGCCAAATCTGTTTGAAATATAAATCTTGTGAAGATTAACTTGCTTATTCAACAAGTTATAAAAATACTTTTAGCAGACTGATTTTGTGGGCCCGAATATAATAATTATCTAAATCAATTTGCATGAGTATTTGTAAAACGCAACATGAAAAAAGAACAGTGTTACGAAATTAGTCTAACACTAAAACTCTTTTTCAAAACGACCCTATTTTGAAAATCCGTATATAAATGCGGTTATGTTATCTACAGTTTACACCGACCACAAAAATACCAAGTAATTATATCGTGACCAAGTTAAAACAGTAAAGTGATATAGGCAATTTTAATTCTATATTATTACTACGTACGTACCAATTCACGTTAGATAGACGTTAGATAATGTCCAGAAAGAATTAAACTAGTCCGGTGTATGGGGAAATATTATTGGACCGGTTGCAAAAATGTAACGCGTGCAAAGCTTTGTTATCGGCCAGTGACATTAAAATTATAATTAAATCAACAAATTACTACTAGATAGGTACACTTACAATTATTTATTCGTTGTGAAACTTATCACCATTAACTACCTACAGCGGAATCTGGTTGAGACTAAGCTCTGAACTCAGGGTCAATAAATGACTAGATTGGGAAAACATATTGGGATAAACGTTTCATGTAGTTATTTTCCCTTCAACTTCAGCTATTGCTGAAGTTGATGAAATCAGCGATTCAGCCAATTTTTAATCTTTACATCTTATACTATTATATAAAGCGGAAGAGTTTGTTTGTTTGTTTGAACGCGCTAATCTCCGTGACTACAAGTCTGATTTGAATAATTCTTTTCGTGTTAGATAGCGCATTTATCGATGATGACTATAGGCTATAAAACATCACGCTACGACCAATAGGAGCTGAGCGTGTGAAACCGCGCGGAAGTAGCTAGTGATGCTATTTATTCCAAAATCTTCTATTTATATATAAAAGAAAGTCGTGTTAGTTACACCACTTATAACTCAAGAACGGCAGAATAGATTTGGCTGAAAATTGGTAGGGAAGTAGCTTAGAGCCAGGAGATCGACATAGGATACTTTTAAACCAATACTTTTGTTTACTTTTTACCGAACATCACGAACGGGGACGGGAAAAAATGGGATTACGCGTACGAAGTCGCGGGCAGAAGCTAGTAATTTATACAAATTACTCAATCTGACTAAATTTTAGTTAATAGGTATTATTTGAAATCTATTTCGTATTAACTTGTTACATTTGCGGAGTTGTATCGAATAAAAGAGACGTTGCATCGCCGGCCATGCGTAAGCTTGTCAGCAATTTGTCGTCTACCAACTGAGGCACAATACAAGTGTCATCAATTTATTTTTCTTCAATTGCTCCACAACTTATTTTTAGTCTCTCTTCTGTAGAAGGTCGTCTCGTGAATGGTAAGTTGATGTACCTAACACTATTCTCCTTAATAATGTTAACTAAGACTAAACTTCATGTTAATTGCCAACGAGGTAGACGTTGCGTTGACCGACGTCAGCGAAGGATTTGCCTTACCATCAAAACTTTTCTGTCGACAGTCAAAGCCTCAGCGGTCAGGAGCGTTAATTTCGAAATTATGATTTTAATTAATCAGTCAACAGATTCATTCTTTGTCAATGTATCCTAGTAGTTAATTCGTACGTGAAATTGTTCATGGGTTACTATGATAAACGTTGCGAGCCAAGTACAGAAATCGATCATGATATTAAATGTAGCTAACATGATCAAATATCCAACATATCTTCAATAAAATGTGCAACGATAAGCGGAAACCGTCATGAATGAAATCAATTTACTAACACATAGAAGCTGCACGTGTTAAATCGCGATTAGTTTACATAGATATACAAGTAGGTTCGAAAAGTAGATAATTAATATTATAAGTACAATTTAGGGAAATTCTTACCAACTTAGAACATGTTAACAAATATGAGTAGACTTAAGACAGAAAAATCTTGAAAATCCTACGGGAACGAGAGAAAACGGGATTGCGCGTACGAAGTCGCGGGCAGTAGCTAGTAAAATAATATATTGTCACTGGAGATTTTCATGTAGATATGATTCACGTACCTATTTGCAATAATTTTTAAAAATTTAAACCGTATTTAATATTTGAGGATGATATGGACAGCATATAATAATATACGGGCCCTGCCACTCAACATTATTTTAAAAAAACTCAGGGTAATAAAAAAACTTAGCACGCATCGTGTCTAATAGCAAAAAATACCAGTTCTTGAATATTTAACATCGTAATATTTGTGTGCATTCAAGTTATCAATCGATTCTGACGTCACCCTCGTCATGTTATTTCCCTCAAAATTACAGATAAATAATGAAAATGTTCATAATCCACAAGCGCCATCTAGGAGTGGTAAAGTGCACTTAACCTGTACGAAAATCGTAGATTCGTAATAGAAAGTATTTTGCGAAAATGTTGATAATCACTGAATAAAAATTATGAACATGCTAATGTGGGATAGTTAACTAGGTACCTATAACTAATCGAATGACTAAAAATAATTAGGAGGTGTCCTGTACGTGCGTACCTACCTACCTATATCCTGCGACTTATCTAGTTAATAGACTTGAAAAATCCTATGCACTGTTACTTATTATACGAATTGCTAGCCGTTTCGGCGAACCGCGAATGTACCGACCACTGCATGATGCAATCTATGCAGACAGTTTCAAACATTTTGCCGCGCGAATAAAAATTTAAAATAATCTAATTTATGAAACAAAACACGAATAAAAGGATTATTCTATTAGCAAATATTTCGTTAAAAAATAAAAGATATACATTTTTATTTCCTTAATGTTATTAAAAGATTTAACTAAAACACAATCATGTAGTTTTACTTT